TGTGCCTAGGAAACTTGTCAGGATTAAAGAGGCAGCGGACAAGTGTCTACAGTTGGCAAAAGAAACAGAGTCCAAGTTTGAGAGTGTGATGTTGCTGATAGCTGAAATCCTGGAGGCATGCACAAAAACCCAGGGCGAAAATGACCAGGAGGTGGCTACCACTCTAACTATAATAAAACATTTGAAAGAAAGGGTGGATAGATATAAACAAGAACAAGAAAATGACCAGAAAGAATTGCAAGAACTGAAAGCAGATGTCCGAAAAGCCCACAAGAAGATAGAAGCTGCCATAGATGGGGTGCCCTCTGCTTGGGAAACCTTAAAAATATCTGTCATATCAGCAGTTACCACTGGTGTTGGGCATAAGTTTAGTGGTATGTTAGGGTGTGTAACAACTGTTTCAGGTCAGATAATGGAAACTGCAAAGGTGCTTGCTAATTCCAGCCCAAATTCTACTTTGAACCCTGATCAGGCCCAGCCGAATACAACAGCCAGAGAAAAGGCTAATAGAAATGTATACGCGAAATCTTCAGAAATATCCTTTTGTGTTGACACCCTTGCTGATTTCATCATCAAAATGAAATCAGACAATGAGCAGGAGACTAAGCTCAAACTCTCCGAAAATATACACAACATTGACAAAGGTTCAAAGTATGTGGAGCTCCAATTCAAAACCCTTATAGAAGAAGTGCAACGGGAAATTGATGCTGATGAAGAAGTCGGAGGTATTGCCATTAAAATATGTAAGACAGGAGAAAAAATTGCCCAGGACCTTGCCAAACTCAATTGTGACATGGACCAACATCAAAATGAGATCAAAGAAATTGACATACAGATAAAACAGATGAAAAGAGACACACAGGGGTTTCTAATACGTGCAATGAAAAAGCTTCAAGCGCTCCCAATTCCTTCCACCACACCACAACTTGCTGGTGCACAAGAGAAGTGTGGGTTGGCAGCAGGGCAAAATGTCTTGATTGCAAGCATTGAGGCTGCACGTTTTAAGACAGAACAGGCAATGAGTCTTCTAAAGAATGCTGAAGAACGGCATGAAAAAATGGCTAAAGATATGAAGGAAAAAAATGAGGCTGCCATGAATCTGATGCAGGAAATGTCAAAGCAAGATGTACGTAGGCTGGACTTGGAAACCATCCGATCCATTCTATTTCGTGGAATGAAGGCTTTGGCAAGCATAAGGGACCAATGGGCAAAGCTTGTTGAGTTCTTCAAAATAATGTCCCATATAATGGAATGTGTTCTAACAGTATCCCTAGAAGAGTTCACCAACACTGTGGATGGAAGCTGTGGAGACAAAAAAGTGGGCCCTTTGACCCTTTCCCATGCTGTCCGTGAAGTGCTATTAGAAGAGGCTTACATGGCCATCGAGATCAGTCACCTGGTCAACATGCTGTCCACCACATATTGTGAGGTTTCAAAGGACCACATCATGGGCCGTATTGGGGTCCTCTACCATATTGTGGCAATGGACCCAAAATACCAATTAGAAGATATGAAATATCATCAAAGACAACTTTTTGATGGTTGTCAGGAAGCTCAGAGGAAGATCCAAGAGCTTGCTTGCTCCAACGCTGAGGAGTTTTATGCCACCATCCAAGGAAAAATAAATCGTATTGAGCATGAAGTCAGCGCTTTGCTGCCTTCCCCAGCAACCCCCGAAGAAGCTGCTGCCATAGAGCAGAAGAGAGCTGAAATCAAGGATGTCATTGCAAGAGCTGACCAGGAAGAAGATCAAAATTTAGCTGAATGGTTGTAATCATTTCCCGAGTTAATATCTTTGAAATAAAACAGGAGTGACTTTTACATGTATGACAGCACAAATGATATCTGCAGTGCTGTCTGCATGCCTGTACTAAACGTTCCACAGGAATTAAAAAAAAAACTGTTAAAGGATTCCAAGCCTGGATTTTCCCTGCCAATAAGTCCTAATTTTTTCTGGGGTAAACAGTATTTCCCAACCCAATTTACAAACCTTAATCTTCTTTTTCTGACACTCGCCCAATTTTAGATACACCATTCACTCAGTGACTTGTCTTCTGGGTATCACAAGAGTCTCATGCTGTGACTCAGTTAAAACTAGTGCTGCCAGTGAACCCAAATTATTTTCGAACTGGATCAAGATGGTTGACTACCGAGTTGGACAGGGGACGGTGAATATCATTAATTTCTATCATATTGATTAAAGCAATTTATCTGTATATGTACGTATGTTTTAAAAGTTTTGTCCTCAGATAAGTTCAACAAGAAGCGATTCATGCACTTACAATGCATTTTTAAACCTAGCTTGGATTAATTGCTTTATGTATACTGATTCTGTGCTGTGAGAATTCTTAGGATTTTCAATATTTTAAGTGGTTTAATAAGGTCAATCTAGCATCCTGCACGGCATCTCGTATCTCCAGTAAACATCTGACACAATTTTGTAAGACTATTTTTCTTTTAAAAAAAATATGAAAAGAAAGAAGCAAATGTGAAATGGGAGGAAAACGCTTTAGAATAGCCCTCCAGTGTATACTGTTAATATTAGTCTATGCCCTTTTACATTTGCACTGGGAGAGGTGAAAATTTGCATCTTTACTTGGCATTCAATTGAGTTGAAAAGTATATAAATTATAAGAACGTCAGAAAGTGAGAAAGACACTAAGAATAATTTTTTTCATTATTATTATTTTTTTGTTTGTGCATGTGTGGGGTGGGGCAACAAAAATAGCACGTATCAACCATGAACCCTGCTCCTAACCACTGAAAAACGTAATCATTGTGGAGTATTATACATTAGGTTTATATTAACATAAGGTCACACCTGACAATTTTTTTTTGTAAAAAGCCTCTGTCATATTTGTTAAATTGAAAAAACTGAAAACCAAGTTGTTGAAATGATAGTGTTATCCAACTGAATGTGTTTAGTTAACTGATGAAGTAAACGTGCCAACATGTAACATCCATGCTTGATCATTTGTGACCTCTACAAGAGGTGAAGAAATGTTATTTTGCTAGTAACAAAAATAATTTCAAATTGTTTAAAAATGGTTTATTTATCTTTTATTTAATGTAAACAAGAAATGGCACAAATTCAGTTAATCAAAAGAATACTAATATGTATTTCATTAATGAAAATGACAATTTTTGACAATTGTAATTAGGTAATACTAACAGAGTGATACATAGTGATATTTTCTTTATCAGAACTTAATGTTTCAATTTCAACATGTGAGACTAGCAACTTAAAAATATTGCTCTCACACTACATGTATTTAATCAAGTTGATAAGTGCACTTTTAATGAAAAATTACCACAATTGTGTATCACAGTAATAAATTGTATTTGTAAGCTGTAATTTTTTCCACAATCAATAAACAACTTTGTTACGTATAATAAAAATTAACATTTTGCACCCATTTTGAACATGTTCTTATGTATTAATATAATATTCCTGACAACTTGAAAAGGGCAAAAAATGATAACAAAACAAAACAAAAGTTACCAACAACTTCCCCTCTTAGAGTCCAATCAATAACAGAAAATTAACAGGGCTAAAATTACAATATCTCATTGATAATTTGGAAAAAATAATCAGGGTACATCATAATAACAGTGGTCTGTGAAAGTCTGCACATATAAGAGATACAAGTTCAAACAGAAAAAATAAATTTCACCAAAATGCAGAAGTACCAGTACATGTCAATATTACAGTGACAAGATTTGAAATCAATGAAATACTTTTAAGTACTAACTACCTTGACAACCAATGTAAAGAGATTAATTATGAAATATCTCTCTCTTTAATTTGGATGTACCCTTAATGTTTTAAATAAGGCAGTTTAACATGCTATCTCAATCTTGTATGAATAGTTTTAAAAAATCACGTTTGTATAAAGTGTATTTAACACACGTAGCAGTTTATACCTTAATCACGGAAATGTGTCAGTGTGAAAGAATATTATTTTTATTGCACTCACTGATTAATTAAAGCAATGTTATACAAGGGAAAAATAATATCAAATCAATAAAAGAAAAATAGTAATATTTTCAACATTAAATAAACAATCACTCTTTTGTCAACAGAGGAATAAAAAATTATAATTTGATAAATTAACAATTTAGTTATACAGCCATTATTATCATATTACAACTACTTTGGCTCTAAAGGCACATGTAAAAGGCCCATCACGACTACTGGGCCTTACCTCAATTCTTGTACCTACTTAACTAGGCATTAAACCACGGCTAGCGCGTAGAACAAAAGACTCGGCCGTGCTGTATTCGACATACAAGCACGTCATGTACGAGTGCGTTCCACGGTCCGTTGCACTACTAGTGTAGTAGCCAATCAGAGGCCGTGGTTTAAGCCAGATACAACACTCGTCGCCGAGCTGTACGTGAAAATTACTCGTGTATTGTCTCGCCTGCGGCTCGCCAATACACTCGTAATATTTCACGTACAGCTCGGCGACTCGTATTGTATCTATCACTTATATGACATTTCATGGTGGACTGGATTGGAAGACCTAATCAGCAGTGCATAATCACCCAAACACCACAAAACAAACTGACTCATACATCTTGATCAAACTTGGAATCATTTCTGATTATTTTACTTCCTCTGTCAAAAGTTTTGTATCACCCCATTTCCATAGATTAGATCGACCTACTTTAGATCGACCTAACTCCCTGGGGGTTCATGCTAAATAGCTGTCAGCCGGGCGGACACGAAAGTTAATTACCCCCTTACAGCTTGTAGTAGGCGGGACGGACATTTAAGTCAGATTATCTGAAAGTAATCTAGCGAGACTCTCCGCGGGGATAGATCGATCTAAAATCTATGGGAATAGAGCCTATGAAAGTAACTCACTTCTACAAAAATTATTTCAGGTCAGGTGGAAAATTACAGTATACAACATATACTCCAATCTTCTCTCCAAACTCTTGGTTGAAACATTCAGGACACGTGGCAGTGGCATTGATAAAGTTTAGGTCTTGGTTTAAAATGATGATGTTCCCACAGTTTTCCTCACTTTCTCATATGTTAACCAGAATGTAAGGGACCAGGGGGCCTGTAAGTGCAATATTACTATAAGATAGATACAAAAAAGGGAATGTACAAATGTATGTAAAACATGTATGCATATTTGGATTGTTTTTCATCTGAGTCATCTAATTTTCCTCTTTTGTCTAATAATAAATGGGATAGTTTTCATTGCTTTTACAACACACCATTAAACAATATACTGAGGGCACTTATATATAATGAGGTTTACAGATAATTAAACTAAGAAGATATGATAAAACACTTAACGGAGTGTCAATAGAGAGAAATCAACAGTAATATTTGATCAATTAATGGACCTTGAAAAATGCCCCTTAAGCTCAAAAGTTGTGAGACAGGTAAAAAAGAAACTCAAATGTTCCATAAAAAATCAGCCTTCAACTACTGATCTTTGCACTTACCATTCTTGCCCAAATGGGCAAGAGGCCTTTATAGAGAGCTAGGAAGCCTTCATTTTGAACAGTTTTCACTGCACAGTTTAAGGATGAGGTATACAGGAGGCCCCTAAAATAAATGACATGAAGTTCATACATCCTTAGGTTACACCATACCCTCGTGACACCTTTTTTTTAAGACTGTCGCTGGCTCCAAGAAAGACGGAATTTAATTTGAAATATGTCAGTTACAGAAATTGGACAGCTAGTGAGAGTCATGCATCATACACCTTCTGACAAAACTAAGAAGGTCAAAAGGAAGGAAAATATGCCTTGTGGAAACTGGGCATTTGTATATACTGTGCACTGCAAAGCTTTGAAACGAACTGCTCTCAACTGTAAGAGGTTAAGAATTTAGCTTCTATTAAATCCATAATGAAAAACTTATTTTAAAGAAGTTTTATGAAGTCTGAGTGATATAAAATTGTACTTCATGAACAAAAAGTGATTTCCAGATGATTGTTAAATACAAGTATATATCAGTCTAAGTGTTCAAATAAATATTGGGATTTTCTTTAAAAAAATCCCTTTAAAAATATTGACTACTGAAATAACTTTAATTGACCAGCAGCCCCTATATAATTTTAAAGACAGAATGACATCTTTACAGATAACTTACTTTCCATCTTTTGTTGGTTGGTTCATAATTCTAGTTTTTACAACATCTGCTGGAGTACCTACTAAAGCAGCAACTATACCTGACATCCCACTGAAAAAAAAATTAGATCTTTAATATATCTCACTATTCCTTTTGTGATATTGATGTAAAAAGGTTAAAATACAGGCTGAGACACATCTGTGAATATCAAAGGAAAAAGTGAATTTACTGTCCTGGTAGAGGGTAAGGGCCCCTTTACACTGGACGGTGTCCTTTCTGCGTTCAAAAATGTGGTTTAACTTATATTTTTTCATCGGTTCTAACCAGATCATCCAATAAAGAACATTTTCAGCACACAAAACAAATAAGTGGGAATAAACGCTTTAAACTATAGTGATGCAAGGTCTGCATGGACTGATATTATCAGCCAGATGCTCATTGTTATCATTATAAGAAGGATCGACAGGCGCCTTAAACGAGAAAGTATGACTGACACAACATAGAATATATATTTGAATCTGTTTTCAAATGATGCATTCTTCAAAAAGTTCTGACAATTAATGCATCTTGTAAAAAAGGCAAAATATTCATTTTATAATAACCTAAAAAAAAAATGGATCGTTTCATGAATTTTAGGGGAAAAAACAATCGGAGGCTGATATGAGACCACTGTTGCCCTTAGAATTCCTGTCTGGTGAAAAATACCTCAGTACGGCCCCGTTTGCGAGTGAGAAAAATGTAGGAGGATCTTTGAGTTTTCATTCTGCAACCAAAGCAATGCTTGTGCCTTCTTTCTATGACCGCAGCGATGCTTGTGCGTTCCCTCTGCGACCACGGCGATACTTGTGCGTCCTTTCTGCGTCCAGTGAGCAACCATCCTCCATCGCGTTATCTCTGCGATTGTTTTGAACATGCTCAATACTTCTCGGCTTCCATGATGCAGAAAGGATGCAGTGTAAAAGGGGTTTAACAAAGGCCAAAGAGTACACACTTTCGCCACATACACATGCACTCACTCCCCAGTCCAGTCCTGATAACAGTATATAACCCACCTTGCTAAGGAATGTGTTACATAATTGTCTTGTAAACTTGTGTGCCTTAATAGGAAATGTTTTGCCGTATCATAAGTTGCTAAATCTGAAAATAGAGAAATAAATATAAAGATCCATTCAAACATTAAACATGTGTAAGAGATTGCGTACCTGCTTTTCCAAACGAAATATAAAATGGAAAATCATATAAAATATCTAAAACAAGGAAGCGAAGCTGTCAAACGTACAGACAAAAAGCAGAAAATAATGATGCACAAAATAGGTTACATCACATAATTTTTAATAATGTACTTTTGTTTATGTGGAAATACATAAAATGTTACTAGAGTAAGTAAAGGGCTTCAATGTACGGCAGTTTGAAGTCTAATCTTAAAAATGCCAATGTTTGAAAAATGAAAATTTCATAAAAAAAGGATAACCAATAAAATTCCAATATAAAATTCCAATAAAGGTGCTATTCAAACTAAACCTGTATTTAAATGCCACTACCCATTCCAGTGAGTTTGAGTTTACATGACGCTTAAGAGTATTATTTTATTACCATGGATTTTTGATTATGTATCACATGTAACATGAATATTCAAATAATGTAATCAGCAAAGCGCTTCGGATCAATGGATGTTCGAAGCCACACCTTGAAAAATGTCCATATGTGAAATAGGAACATTTCAAAAAAAAAAAACTTCACAATTTACAGTGACAAAGCAGAGAATGGGGGTTTCATCAGTTTCGAAGCAATGTTACAAAATGCTTAACAGCATAATCATCACCAATTTTATAATATATATAATACAGGTATCATGGATATTCAGAAAATGTAACTAGAATAGAGCTTCAGGCCCTTGGGAGTTCTTAGTCACAAGAAAAAAAACTGCATTACCTCAAGAAAAGGAATCTAATTAGACTGGTGTTCCAACTGAAACTGCATTTTAGTCCTATGAATCTTTATGTAAGTTCAAGATTAATAAGAAACATGGATTTCCAGAAATGGTCATCTTTTACAGCCATAGGAACTCTTGCTTGAGTATTTGAGTATATAGAAACCCTTCTGAATCCAACAGCTTGCTCTATTTTAACTTTAAGGTGTCACCATTGAGGTAAAAAGCAGAGATACAACAGCCCAAAACTTGCCTCCCATGTTGACTAATGCAGCCCTCTGTACATTGGGCACACAGCCCCTCCACAGGCCTCTCACACCACCCTCCTTTCTTAGGCTGGAGAAGGCATGCCAGGTGCTTTTTACTCTGAAAATCAAATCCAAAACAAATTGTCATTATCTCCACAACCAAAGAAACCTACAT